TTGGATTACAGAATTTCTGATTTTACTATTTAATAGCATAATGCAGTGAGTCTAATTTATGACAGCGTAGCTCGACCCACCACCCCCCAGCGCCTACGGCTATTGTGTCAACGCTGTGGATGCGTAATATACAAGTGACTGCTGATATAACAAACCAAATATTTTTCTGCTTCCATATGAGGATGACACAATCATTTCTGAGCTTATTAGTGACAACAATGGAACTCCTTTTCGGGAACCTTTATTAATTTTGTATCGTTAATGGTGTAAGTTCTCTATAATATGATAGCTATGGACTCTCCCATTAGACGTAACTAAAATGACTAATTTAAAAATTCCGTGAGTGAAACCCCCCCCCCCCGTATCGCACAAAACTCTCCCTCCCCTCCTGTATTGCACAATCAACCTCCCCCCACCCCTTTAGGCCAGTGTCACAGCCTTTCAGATTTTTTTTTTTTATTTATTACAAGATAGTCCACAGTACATACACACACATACATGCTTGTTTCTAAACATAATCTACGATGGCTACTTGTAAGGCTCAGTGTAGGACTGTATGGATTGTATACACTGTATGTCCTCGATTGCAACTCACAGTTGGCAAACGAATCTGGGAAGCTTGCAATTCTGTTTGGTTCTATTGTATTGCATATCTCTGTGGAAATCTTATAAATACATCTAAACTCAAGTTTAGGTAAAGTATTATGAAAAGAAAATATGGACAATGTCTGAGCAGAATCAATGAAAATATGAGATACATTATTGTTGTTTCTCTCTACAGAAAATCATAAATGGTTTACAATATAGCTGTTTGCACTATCACATTTTATGTGCCCATATTTGGACATGATGATGTCATACTGTATTACCCCCAAATATGGGCACAGAGTATCACATTTCTTTGTCACATCAAATTTGATAGTGTGGACAGAGCTTAAAAGAATTCCAGAATCTTGGGTTCAAATCCTGCAAGCACCATACCATATAAAACCTTGAATAAAAGCCCAATGGGCTTAATCCTGGGATAAGCCCATCTCAAATTGAAGCCACCCTCCCCCACCCACCCCACCACTTTAGTTTGCAAAAGTAGCCTCAAAAAGAACCCCATCTCGAAAAAAAATAGTACAGTACATACACTGTAAATGAATTTCAAAGAAACAAAATAAAATTTAAAAAATGCTTGGGTTTACATAGTGCAGTAGGTGATTTAATGCCACTTAATACTAGAATACACTCCATGATACAAACTGATGTTACAGTGGCCTTATTTATTGTTTTATAGTAGTAATTGCCAAAATTTATAGCATTCATTTTGAAAAGAAGCCCCCCCACCCCTTTACTTTGCAAAAGTAAAGGGGTAGGGGTGCCCACCCGAGTTTCATGATAGGAAAAAAATTAGCAAGCGTCCTGGCTACATTGTGTCTGTGTGAAAGCGCAACTACGTACAGTAAAATTAGCATGTGTCCTGTAATATTCTTGGATATGTACAAACAGACATCACAAAGGCATGAAATCAAACACTCCTGAGATTTATCAGTAAAGCACGGAAATGTGATCATGCAGCAGGGATTATCTTTCAATATTGGCATCACACGTATTGTCCCGAGTACATGCGACTCAGATTGATAAGGTGTCAAAAAAGATATTCCTGCAAATAGGAGTCGCTTGTTGGATGAGAATGCACAAAAACAAGGATCCACTGATTGTGTTTTGTAGTCTTAAACCAAGTTTCTCTAATGACCAATAAATTTTGACCTTGAAAATCCGCTAAATCTGAGATAACATTAAAATGTTATGATAATCTTAATTCTATACTGCCACCATTAACACCATAATGTAAAAATTGAGCTGTTGTGGTTGGTGTTCTTAAATTCTTGCTTTCAAATCTCAGATCTGGCCAATCAAGTCCTACACACCATTTGTCTTTTTCCCGAGAAATAACAACTCTGCTTTCTACCGTGATCTTCCATAGATCTAGGTTATAAATTCCATTCAGAAATTGCTTGATTCTGTAAGTATGTCAGTCCGACCGCCATCATATTAGCACACATTGTTTTGGAATATTGCCAATGCTCAACGCCATGTTGGGGGGGGGGGAGAGAGTGTGACCGTATTGTTAAAAGATATTATAACACTACACTAAAAGTGACCACCCAGGGGTGTCCCAAATGAGGGGTTCTACTGTACACAGTACTGTAGGTTGTACCAAGACCTTGACAAAATACATTCATCATGCAAATATGGTTTTTCATGTACGGTCAACAATAAAGCGCATGATATTGTGCGCAGAAAATTCACATAAAATTTTCTATCACGCACACTAATTACGAAGACTTCAAACGGAGTAACACTACTCGCATTGGATGTTTTAGCACAGGAAAATCAGCCTGATTATTCTTTGAAGGCACTTGCTTGGTTAAACTTACTACATGGTCACCATTTTCTAATATACAGTAGGCCCAAGGCAATTCAACAACATGGCTCGCATCTTGTGCGTACAGTCCTTTAATATTTACTGTGGCAATCTGATGCTATTTGCGAGTACAGCCATTAATATTAGTCAGAAGCACAGCATACATTTTATAGTGTCAGTTATTTACTAAACTATTAATTAATTAATAATTAATTAACTATTAATTAATTATTATTAATTTGTGGTACTTTGCAATGTCTGTTTAACACCTGATTTCTTTTGACGAGGAGCTAGTTAATTGTTCCTATAAATTACAAGTTGATTCGTGAAAATGGATCAACAAGTTGAAAAGTTATATAGCAATTTAAAATTTACGATTTTTATAAAAATTAATGTTCTTATATAAATTTAAACTGTCATTTTGACAATGTTGGACTAAGGTGAACAAACCGAACATGTGACCAGGAGCTAGTTAAGTGTTCCTATAAATTACCAGTTGATTCGCAAAAATGGATCAACAAGTTGAAAAGTTATATAGCAATTTATAATTTACGATTTTTATAAAAATTAATGTTCTTATATAAATTTAAACTGTCATTTTGACAATGCTGGACTAAGGTGAACAAACCGAACATGTGAAGTGAATCTCATGAATCACACTACACCACAACATCAGTAAAATTAATGTAATATTAATGAATATAATTTCAGTCTAATGTTATTGAAAAATATCATTAGGCCTTTGTAATCACCACAAGATGCTCTATTATCATAGTAATTAACACGGGATTGGGTAATTTGTTACATGCTAATGGTTAATTATGGTTTGGTTGCTACGGTTTTTGTGATGATCAAGTTGACTGTTAAATTCATTCAAGCGTGTAGGAGTGCACGACAAACAGAATGTTGTTGCCAAAGTTATACACTTTATGTCCCGAGATGTGTGTCCTGTTATTGAATGCCTTGGTAGGCCCTACTTAATACAATATTTAATTATTTTCAGTACAATGTCCTATTTCATACAGATCTTACTGTATAGCAGTAAAAAGTAATTAATCTATCACTTTCTCCATAAATAATTCATTGCTTAATATTTTAAATTAAAATTGTAATCAATCAACATGTAAGTTTTGGAGTTTACATTACTGTACATTGTAAATAATTATAAATTCTTTTAATATGCAGAATCATGAATTCAATACTTAGTACAATGTATAATTTTTTTAATTTATACATTGTACGAAGATATGAAAATGTTCCCTAAAAAGAGAAACTTGAATTTGAGTTGAATAGCTTAATTATAATTAGGCTGACTTCATCTGCTACCACCAATAACAGAATTCACTTATATAGTGCACATTATATTGAGCCAAATTGTTATCAGACTACCAAACTGAAAAAAGTGGGTAGATAATGACTTTGGTAAATTACAACTTTATATGAATTAAGAAGGCTTCCATGAAAAATTTATTCTTCTAAGAAAATGTGATTACAGTGAAATTAGACGGAACTGAAAGGCAGCAAGTTGAGTAGCATTAATCAATAACTCATCATCCACTTTAGGTGAAAAATAGCTAGGAAAAAAAAAGTTTACTAATTCATAGTAAAAATTCAGTAAACCCAGAACTTCAAGAAAGTACATCGTACATTATTTATGATTATATATAGATTTCCAGCCAAGTCTCAATCAACTATTGTCACACTTCTCTATACTGATTTTTTTTTTAATTATTAGATCATCTCATCTCTCAACAAAGGCCTGATCAGTTCTGTTATTTCCAAACTCTAAAATTTGAATCCTGATATTTCATATAAATTGAGATGGTATATAGCCTGTTTTCCACTAGGTGAATTTATTCGCGCGAATCAAAGGCGTCGGTTCTGTTCCAGAGTTCTGATTGGTTGCGCATAGACAATTTAAGGGTGGCTGAGTGTTAACATTGGTAAACTCTAAATAATAAGAGTGGATATTAAGGATGGAAACGTGGTTTAATAAGTGTCGGTGGAGGCCCACGAAATCAGCTAGACTGGGTGGAAAACTTCAAGGCTTCGTGGCCCTGCCCAACATAACTATATTCAAGATCAAGATAATTTTATTGTCCAAAAGGAAATTACATTTATATAATTACATCGCAAGAATTAATAAAAACATCCAGCATAAAATATACAGCATATAAATATAAAGTGTTAACTCAATCCCTATTGAGTTTAAAGTTTCTGTCCACCAATTTGGGTTCACACCTGGAGCACAAACATTTTTAGGGACAGCATGCCCCAATTATATTACAGCTTTTAATAATAAAGATAATGGTCAACTTATAGGGTGAATACTATGGAGACCTCTATGGCTAAACATAAACATGAAAAGATTAAACAGACCAAGAAAGTAATACTTAATCTAACCCGAAAGACATGCTAATCCTACTACTTAAACTAATCATGGTTGGCCACTGACTCCAAGAACCTCATCCGATCTTTTGAGCTATGATTGGAATGAATTTCTATTGTATTCAATAGATAGCAAAAAAAAACCATAACTATTACAGTAGTATTTATATATTTGTAAATGTAAAAAACAATGGTGTACCTTATGTATCCATTCGTATTCACCGAACTTAGAATCAAAAGTTCCCTTCTGTAAGGACCGTAACTTGAGAGTGAACTTTGGCCCCAGTTGCTGCAGTCCAACTCTCTTGCCATCTTTGAAGATATATCTGAAATAGAGTGATCAAATCATTAAGACATAAAAATACAAAAGATTTTATTTTATTGATTTTGTACAAAGATTTAAAAAAAAACAGTTGGCAAATGCTGTACATAACAATTTTTTATTGACTCTTTACATGTATATTGCTTGTTAAAAATACAATTAATGTATTGTCTCTAATAAACTTTCATTACATTACCATACCAGGGCAGGCAGCCTAGGGAAATCCTCCCGCGTAGACAGCCGTATATAATAACCGTTAAATTTTCCAACCGTGTGGGTTTCAACAATAAAAGATAATAATGATTAAATATTATTTTAAAATTATTCAAATACTGTAAATGACAACAAAAACTGAAAGAATTATGAAAGTTAAAGAGTGTATTAAAGAGAACCATGAAAAGAATGTTATTAAAGATGTCCCCTAAAAATGGCAAAAATCATAAAAATAATTTAACCCTTTGAACCCTGAATTATTTACATTTTGCGGCACCCTTACCCTGAGTTATTTGGACAAAATATGCTTTTTTTATTACAATCGTCACCACCACCTCCTAGGCCTTGTACCATTACCATAGCCATCCATGACCCTGACGCACAACTATCATCACTGCCACTGGCACTAGCACCACTATTGTGATCGGCTTAGCCTAGGGCTAGAAACTATACTGTTTAAATCACTTTCACTTTCCAAATCACTTCCTGGATAATCGTCATCATCAATATTTTCTTGGGAGTCATAAAGTATCAATTGTAAAGCACCGTTGGCATATTGTCAAATTATTCAATATAAATTTGTTTTTTCAAAAAAAAATCCACACGTACGAGAGGCTGTCATAACGACTTGGGAATGATGATGTCACAAAATTACGTCATATTACTCATACTGGTCAGGCAAAGCCGGTATGCCGGCCTTTAGGGTTATTGCAGCGTAAGCGCGCGGCCGTTTTTTCCGGACTACAGGGTTCAATGGGTTAAAAATTAGCTTGATTATTTTGCAGTAACATACAAATTATAAACTTGAGTATATAAATTATTGTATCAAAAAAATGTGTAGCCTGATTTTTATACTGAATAATGATAAAAATAATAAAAACAATTAACAGTGAATGCAACAGGCAAGGTTTAGGGAATACATTTTTTATCCGAGTAAAAATTCATATCACATCAAAAAATCAAGGTCAAATCATTCAGAATCATGGTCTGTCTTTTTCTGTTTATTTTGCTTTTCTTTTTTTTTTTTTTTTTCTTTTGTGAGTTGCCAAGATTTGAACCAATGAAACTTAAATATGAGACTACTAGCTACACATACCTATGGTGTCTGAAGAAAATAAAATCACGCTGGTTGTGAAATGTGACTGCACGCCGTCCAACAAATTCCGGATCGTGAGGGAAAAGCGATGCTATCAGTCTGCCTACAGTGTGGCCGAGCCTTGTGTTGAAATTGTTCAGTACTAACTCAGGCTTATGGTCTGTCGGTGTACTAAAATTCTGCGAAATATGAAGTTGGCCGATGGTAGATGTAATACAGAATAAATTAAAAACAGAAAAATAAACTTGAAGCAAAAGAATAAGATAAACAAACATCAACAACACACGCATGATCACTGTATTCTACATTTTAACAGTAATATTGTGATTGAATATGATAATACTTATTCAATCAATTATTGTAATTTGATATTAAACAAGTTGAAGTTACAGTATGTAAAACAACGATTATGATTGAAAAAATATATAATAAAGCTGATTGTATATTTTAAAATATAATTTTCTTGTTTCTTCAACAAAAATAAAACAAGGTATTATTTTTTTGTTAAAAATATAAATAGCAAAAGAAAACTCTACTGTAATATTCATTACCAAACAATTTCAAAAATGTTAGTTAGTAGTAGCAGATCAAAGGTTTGGATCTACAGAATGTAACAAAAATACATACTAATTATTTATTAAACATATATGATAATAATGACCATAATATTAATAACTACAAATTATTAATAATAAAAAACAATGACAACAATACAAGCCATTATGATTCAATAATCAAAAACCATATTGATTCGATCCTAAACAGAAAATGAATATATTATAAAGTTAAAAATATTGAATCACAAAGGCTTTTACCATTTTCTTCATCTGTCTATAATAATTATATAGTTAAATATATAGTTTTTGTAATTAAGTCCTTTTTGTTAAAATTTCCTTATATTTTCCTTTTCATTTTATCACTTTTGTATTTTTTATGTTATAACTGGACCACAACGAAAACCAGTGCATTTGCATTGAGCTTGCCATCCAGTATAAAGAAAGTTGAATAAATAAATAAATAAATAAAAAACTCGATAGATATCAGATAAAATTATTACCTTTATTTCTTTCCTAAGTTTCAAACTCGTTAGCTTGAAGTGTGCAGTGGGTCCATTTGGTAAATGACACAGCAGAAGGCCAGCTAAAGCTGCGTTAAGGTCAACAAGAAGTTCAACTGTGCCAATCTTAAATATTAGATACTGATACAGAATTGTAGAGTATGTTTCCATGTTTAAATATAACACTGCAACATAATGATAATAATGATAATAATAATAATAATAATAAAGCCTTATATAGCGCATAACACAAGAAAGCCTTTATGCGCTTTACTAATGCTGCAAAGAAAACTAATAACGAAAAATGGCATAAATGGCAGAAGAATCATTTCCACTGCTCTGTTCTCCAGCACTGTGAAGCCCTGAAGTTAGGGGCTCGCTGGAACAGTATTCACTGGAGCTCTAGTAAAAATGATATCTAGCTAGCCTATCCTACAATTTAATAAATAAGATGTGAGCGCAATATTGCTGAGTGGCTAAACAGCTAAATCAGATTTTTAAGGGAGTTCTTGAAAATTTCAACTGAAATTGAATTTTTTATGTGCTTAGGAAGGTCATTCAATAAATACGTAGATGAAAACGTGAATGATCGGTTGCCATAATTAACAGTGTTACATTTAGGAACTGTGAGTTTATTTTGAGTGGAAGATCTTAATTGCCTTGGAGGGGAGCAAAGTGTAATCAGTTCACATGGCCTTTGTGTAGTCAGTAGTAGTAGTATCTTGAAGATAATTCTCTGATGTACAGCCAATGAATGTATTTGAGGACTGGTGTAATATGTGCATAAGATGTTGTTCTTGCAGTAATGCATGCAGCAGTATTCTGTATCACTTGTAATTTTGCAATACCAGATTTTGGTAATCCGTATAAGATGGAGTTACACGAATCCAGCCTTGATGTTATACAAGCATGGACCAATCTTTCAGTACTCTTGTTTTCAAGGTATTAACATTGCATATTATGATACCAAACATCTTGGTGAACACTTTCATTTTATTCTTACCTTTCTATTATCTTAATTATTAAACTTTATGTTTATTGTATCTATTTATATTATTTTATTAATTTATTCATTATATTTCGTTTATCCATTGCTCATTCCTCCAGTGTTGGTGTCTCAGTGCATGCAGCCCTAAATGAACAGGATGACACACTATCTTTGACCTTCAAAAGAAAGCTAGAGAAATTCCACTTTGATGATATAAATAGCTTTTAAAAATTATATTATATAGCTGATATGGGTGCTATATTATATTCTGGTTTATTTATTCAATCATCATAGCATAATAAATTGAATTGAGATGATTAATTACAAAATCAGAAACTATACAAATACAAAATCCTATAAATTATTATTTTTGCACACAAAACATTTCATATAACACTTAACTACTGTAAAAAGTTTCAATTACATATTCAAATATTAATAATTTTTTTTTTATTATTTTATTTTTCTCTATATTGTAATGTTAGAAAAGGATACTTGGGATTCCTTTATCTTCATTCAATATGATGATATCGGTGTAGTCTCTTGCTTTGCACTGCGGGATAATCTTCTTAAGGGCTAGACCTCGCCTGTAGTACACATCTGTGTTTGGTATACATTCTTTCAACTGCATACAAAGCTTCATAGTTCTCTGGAAAAAAATAGAAAATAAACATTTAAATTCAGTAAAATAGAGACGCATAGTAGCTCCTGATCCAATGATTGTTTAGGTAAGTTATACACTGACCACATAGCTGGTGTAATTTAATAACAAAACTATGAACTGAGTGTTTTGGGTTCAAATCATGCTAGGAGCTCATTTTCAACCATCAATTTGTTTTACTTGCATTATAATAAAGCTACCTTCATTATTCAAAATGAATTCCCCACTTTGAATAAATGCTTCCCTCAAATAAATGCCCACCACTGTAAACAAATCTAACATTTTCAACACATCTTATTAATGTTCTACCACAGTGGAATTACATTTTTTCTAACCTGGTTGGAATCAATAACTTTTCTTTATGATCATGCAACAACACATTTCGACAGTAATCATGCGTTGCAGTTCCACATTTACAGTGAAATTAAGGGGCGTTTATTTGAGGATGTTAATTAGAATGTTTCATATATGATTCTAATGAAAAAAGTATTTTACAAATCTAAAAGAGAAAGGTAAATGTGCAGTATTTTTGGTTTAAAAAATTGGATATAGCACAAGTAATGTTTTTAATGGCAATTCAATAATAAAAATGAATTTCATACTGTTTTCCGTCATCACTTCAGACTTCAAGGTTGCATATCATGTTGCTAAATAACAGCAACTGCAAGATCACACATTTTTGACATAGCCTTGCAATATTCAGTAATCAGGTGTACAAGCCTACATTACACATTTTCCCATAAATATCAAGGACATTCATTGAAATTTTATCAGCTGGACTGGCGGAGCATTGACTGAGACTACTTTTTTTTAAAGGAGAAAAATCTAAAAAAAATTAAGTCTATCTAATGTCGTATAATTTTAATAAAACATATTCCAGAGACATAAAGCTTAATTTTGTATATGTTAAATCTTGGATTTAGTTATCATACGAATCACAAGAATAAGTTCATGATAAGAGCATGTGTATACTGCAGAATCTAGGTCAAAATTACTTTTAAACAAAGTCCATTAATAAGAGTGCTATCAGTCACTGGTCATCTTTCAAAGCGTAGGACCAATTACCAACTCCCTGATAGGTTGGATGTTTAGTTAGAATGCAAACTCGTGATGAACCTAATAACACATTCCATTTTTAGAGAAGAATTTTAACACATTCCATTTTAAAAAGGAATTCCACCACCAAAGCATAGAGTACTGTATATCTGTGTATACATACTAAAAATATAAGAAGCAACTGTTCATCACCTGGATGTGAAATGTACTTAAAAAAACAGTGAGCGGTCAACCAAACATCAATGGCCACTAAAAGTCTATTCACAATGTCACTTTATGTGACGAAATATTGTGGACATATCATACATATATATATATATATATATATATATATACTGTCTCTTATACACATCTAGATGTGTATTGTTCATGGGGTACCTAAATCAAGGTGGGATATGCTAAATAAGCAAGCCTTTGACCCTTAATTTAATTATTTTTGTTGATAGAATGGACGACTTTTAAAAGCAGGAGCGACAGATGTAACAAGCGTTAGAAATCATATTTGTATACCAAATTCCAAAAATCAATACACAGGCAATAGAGGGCGCTATGAAGAACAAGTGTAAAAATCATGTGGTTTTTAAAAAGTGAGAATATGTGTCTCCAAGTGACATAAAAACTGACTGTTATGGCCACACAAGACATAACATCACATTGTGCATTTGAGACAGGCTTCATTGCACATTGGTACAAAGTGTCGTTATAAATAAATTATTATTATCATTATACACCAAGAAAGATAAAAGCCATTCCTCTGAACACAAAAATCAATGCACAAAGACTCGTGCTAATTATCATGTGTTGTCTACTTTATCTAGCACAGAAATGACATGGGACACAAGCCAAATTTACACAGAAATGCATTGGCACAGATGTATTAAATAAAGCAGAGAAAAAATATTATTGTTCCTTGAAAGAAATTTGTCTTGTGTTATCAGATATTAAACACCAAGACACAGCCATACTTTAAATAAATGAAGAACTACAGTACTGTCTTAGTAGTTCCGTGTTATACAGCATTTCTAGATTCCTATTCAGAAATCAAATACCAGAAATTCATTTTACGACACTTACTGATCTCGGACGGTCTGAAGTTGTGATCAGAATCTTGGGTTCCGTCAACCGATTGAAATAGGAGGCCATCTCATCCTGTGCCTCATCTTTCATAACCTACGAAAAAAACAATGGGTAAAGTGACATGCAGTGTTGTTCGGGATTCTAAGTATATGAGCAGTTAATATTTAATACAGTACTTTACAAATGAATATACTGCTTTCGAGTTTTACTTCAGTTGCTCCTTTTTATGCTGGCGACCAACAAAGTTTTATTTGCGGGTCATTAGAAAAATTATATATCCAGGGCGGGACTTAGTGGAAAGGTCAATCGATGGCTGAACTTCCCCTTTTCCAATTTAATTGCACTCCCATTAATAACATTTTTTAACAATTTTTTTTTTGGTAATTATTAGTCTCATGCGGTCTTCAATTCTGAAAATTCTTTCTCACTTTATATCTGGCTGGCAGCTGGATTCCTTACTAACGTACCATAAAGTACAGTAGAACCTCATTTTTACGTACCCCAGTTATACGAACCCTCTGTTTTACGTACGCCGAAAACCCCGAAAATATTCAAAACAAACCGCCCTTTTGAGAGCAACCATAAGTAAAAAGAATATAACAATAAACTATAACAATAAACAAACCATAATGCAACGTATTTTCATTAAACAGCAACGTTGATTGAGTCTAATACCGGGTTGTTATAATCTAAAACCACGTGAACTGAGTGAGATGAACAACTACCGATGGTGCTCAAAATTATTACTTTCCTCCTTAGCTTCGTGGAAGAACTCGTCTGGTCGAATTTTCTACACGAAGCTGAGTAGACATAGTTTCGTACACGAACGCTGATTGGTTGGCTCGCCCAGTGCATATTACATGGTTGCTGTTTCACGTACACGAACGCTAATTGGTTGGCTCGCCCAGTGCAGCGCACATGGGTTTAGTTTGTCTCAACATGCCCAGACAACACCACATCTCTGTTGTTTAGAATAGGCATGAAGGGGAATTCCCAAGTTATACCTTTGTCGTATAGGTAATCTTACAATATTTTCATGTTCTTTATTTTAGTTAAATAAAAGATATAAAGTGATGAATTAATACACTAGACACATGGTTTTATTTGAACACTTTATTATGACATCGTAAAGTGATGAATAAGAACACTAAACACATGGCTTTATTCGTAGGCCTAGATCTAGCCTAGGTATCACCGTTCGTTCGTACATACGTTTATTTAGCGTTACGTACGTATTAGGTCAAAGGTTACCACAAATTTAACCCAACCTCTATTTTACGAATACCCCGATTTACGTACGCCCTCTGGTCCCGTACCGTACGTAAAATCGAGGTTCTACTGTACTAACATTTCCATTCTGGATAGGTTCACACTGAAGCCTAAATATTCAGATCAGGAGCTAACTGTTAGCCTGATCCATTAGCACACGTGTGAGAACGCCCAATCGGTTACCAGGAAGTGGATACACAAGTTGATTTTATTTCGATCACTAACCAATCAGATGTACGCATTCCAATTTCCTATTGGCTAGTGATCCCACCGTCATCTTCTTGATGGGGATTTTCGTGTATGAACACAACAGTGAGCACGTACGTATTGTTATTAATCTGGATCCTACTAACGTTTATATGGTGTAGTGTGAACACAGTGTATGTGCTCCATACAGACTAACTTCAACAGCAAAGCTGAGCGCGTATGTACTGAAACTATTAATCTGGATCTTAGTACAGTAAAACGTCCATTTTACGAAAGTTGATTTTACGAATAGTCGATTTTACGAATGGTCTTTTGTCATCACCGATCAATTAATTACCGTTAAAAAAAGTCCAATTGCGCACGTTTTACAAAGTCATAATGTATATTTTTTTTGATAAAATCAAGTTTGTTATATTTATTTATTATTAGTTCGATCTTTTCTTCCATTTTGGTATAATAATCATTATATTAATGTAATAAACCTAACCAGAACAACGCAACTACCAACGCAGATTGAGCGCACATGTTTACAATGACGAACGAGAGTGTTGGGGTCACCAACTTATTGACATCGTGAATGATATGATCGCAAAATGCATGTAAACAATACAATCCGGCGATCTAACAACTACAAAGAACACGATAGAAAGAGCCATAAATAAAACATACAGATGTTTAAATAAGAGTTAAAATAACATTTTGTTAAGTGGAAGAATGACAGCGATTAAAGTAATTTGGTTTTTATCAAAGGTAAATTCAGCTAGGCTCTATGCGTAATGGACAACGCTGCTGCACTGTCGGTTCATGCTAGGCCTGGCCGCCGTCAGCCTATCGGCGTTTAATGGCAGGCGATAACTAGGCCTACTCTAGGTATTGGAAACTGACACCCGATGATCTAGTTAATCTGTGCTCCAGCCATACAGACTACACTTCTCTTACCTCTTCATCTGTCGGGTCGACCATGGTTTCATCATACACCCGCATACTCTCAATTGTCTTTGGCACTTGCTTTGGTGGTGCCTAAAATGGAATACAAGTTCAATGAAAAATGTATTAAAGATCTGACAATATCAAATGCAGTGAATATTATTCAGTATTCAATTTGTTTTGTGCTTTTTTTTTTTTTAAATTAAGCAGATATCCCATGCTCATAGATAAATAAAAGCACACAGAAAACAAAGACAAAAGACAATGATTGACCAAAAGTATTTGCAATCCAGTCAACTGGTTTTCAAGATATTACTTAGTTTGAGAAACTTTTCAAAGTACTTTAAATAATGTATTCAATTTGCTAGGCAGCTAGCTGAATTGCATCAAATATGGAAAAATATATAAATGTCAACTAAAATATGACTGGTATTCAGTTTACGTTAAAAAAAAAGTAATCAATTTTGGTTCAGTGTACAAAAGGATATTGAAATCAAGTACCTAATGAAAACTGATGAAGTCTTTCAATCATAATAAATTTGATGATGCACAATAGAATTTATATAAAACACTATTACTGTACAATTACATAAACTTAATAAAATGCAAAACAGAAATATTAAACAATATACTTCAAAACTACATCTTGTTGATAAAATGCACAACAGTAATATTGGTCGAGTTCCTAGTCCACATTTCAAGCGCCCTGAGCATCTTACATTAGAAGGATATGTGTGCTATATAAAACTACACTATTATTATTATTATTATTATTATTAAATAAATTAGAAATCAAAGAATCGTATTTAAAACAACATAAAGTACAATGGGGAATGACTTGGAATACCGCTCACAAAACAAGTAATAGAGAACAAAGCATTCTCCAAGCTTGGTCCAGTATTGTGGAAAATTACCAACCTTTACAAAATGTACCAAATGTTCAATTGTTCAAGAAATATCTTAAAATGCAATTGTTCCAAAATGACTAAAGGTAAACAGGCAAGTTCTGATAATTTTCTAGCCTTATTCCCAATCTGTGACCTTATATGCAAATTATCGGTGTCTGTTTTATTTATATTTGTTATGCTTTAAGCTATAGTTAACGTTATCACGTAATTGTAACTTTTAAATCATGCTACTTCATTTTGATGTAAAGCGCTTTGTCACTTTAAGTTAAAAGTGCTACACAAGTCAATATTATTACATGTAACAACTATGTTTTGAATTATATTTCTAGATCGTTACAGTATTACTATCATTATTAAACAGCTACTTAAAACTTATGTAAAAAAAAACCCAACAATCATGACAAAAAAAATTATAAATGGATAAAGTTGAAATAATAATGTAGCAAAAAAAAAATTTTTAACTTGGAAAAATATAAATTTAAAATATTAGGTTTTTTTTATACAGTATTGGAGCAATACAATTCTTCAAGTTTTTTGTAAGTTAAGGGGAAAAATGTTTGTGTTGATGGTTTTCTGGAGACAGAATGTGTGTTGGAGTTTATAACAAGGCAATGTCCTGAAAATGGCATACTTACAGTAAATACTGTACTTAAACTACCATCACAGTCATGCGTTACTCTTGTTTTGTGCAAGATTTCCATCAATGCAGTTATTAACAAAGTTCTTACCTTGTCACCTAGCATTTTGGCTTCTTTTCTCTTAAGTTTTTTCTGCTTAATTTCCCGCTAAAAATAAAAAGAATTTTACAATTTTATGAAAACATGAATTCATTAAAAAAATTATTTCAGTTTTTTTTCAAATGGAGCCTGTATGTACACTGATGTAAATTAAGAGGATGAAAGTGGTTTAGAAAAGAGGATGGACATGGGTCAAGAATTTTAAATTATTTGGTTTGATCAGGGATATGTATAAAAAAATAAAACCTTCTCCCTGGGTTGATAATATTGTGTAAGGCTACCAAGCATTGTTGTTGTTGTTGCAGTCAATTAACCCTCGCTTGTACGAATTGTAGACCAAGGCCTAGGCCTAGGCTTTAGGCCTAGTAGTTAGTGGAGTCACAAAATCACAATTTCTAAATTCTAATTATGTAGGCATAGGCTTACTGTAAATATATATTTATTTATTCCTAGCTAGGACCTAGCAAAGTCTATATACTTCTATCATCAAGCATAGGCAAGCTCATAGATGTTGCCTAGACCTAGCTAGGCCTAGGCCTATCTTTGTCATCTAGGCCTACAGGCTACGCAGTCCTCGTTAAGCCAAATGTGAGAGGGCGAGCCAGGCATTTTGTCGTCGCGTAGCAGCCTAGCCTAGGCTAGCTCATACATACATTTCTGCCAGGCCTAGGCTAGGCCTAGCAGATTAAAACGATAAAGGTGGTCATAATCACCTTCCTTCTTTCTGCCTTCATTTGTTTATATATTTCCATTCTTCTTTTCTTATTCTTTATGCTCGATATATTTGGCGCTGGAATACCGCTGTCAACCATAGGCTTCTTTTCCCCATCTTGTTGATGTTCGGACGACGTACACATGGTTTCAGCCATCTTTTACTTAAAAATATCAATGTAGGCGTGACTTCTCTGAACATCTGTCAATCATTCTGGAAAATCATTTCATTTATTTGATCTCTTAATAATATTCAAACTTTAATTCCTGCATTGTGTGACAAATTATTTAATAATAATTTTACTGCATAAAAAAATATTCAATTAACCACAGATTTTGATATGAGGCTAAAAAAAATCGGTCACAAATTGAGCTAATAATGGTAAAAGATTAATCAACGGAAAAAGAAAAGAACAATGAAACGGGCATGTTTTGACGAAGATCGTCTGTATAACCACCTATAACCTTTAAAAAACGTGCCTAGATTTCCAGATCACTATTTTACGTACCATTTGTTTTTTATAACAGTGGAATTTTAATATCTATGACGCATTTATATAATAAAAAAGGTTGACCAATTACAGAAAGAAAAACAAATTATCGGCCACGTGAGTTTTCATCCTGAAGGCCTGTTTATACTTGCAACGATAACGATAAAACGATAAAAAGCTAAAAAGCAATTGTTCATATAAAAAATAAAAGCGATAACAGAAATTTTTACACTGGGACGATTCGATAACGAATTATCGTGTACACGATAACAAAATGTGTTGACAAATCAATTCAAATGACGTCATAATCATGGAGAAACGACAAAATCGTTGTTACGGACTACTACGATTTTCTCGTTTTTTCATGATTATGATGTCATTTGAAGTGATTTGTCACAATATTTCCTTATCGTGTATACGACAAATCTTTATCGAATCATTCTAGTATAAAAACTTTCATTAGCTTTTTAGCTTTTTATCGTTATCGTTATAGGGTGCACGCAATAAACAGGCCTTTATGCTATGAGAAAATATTTTAAGCATCCTTTGCTATCTCGCAATATCAGTCAAAGTCAGTTATTCATCCTAACCGAAGCGGCTAGGATGAAACCTTTTTAATGTATAAATGAATTACAAGGGGTTTTTGACGAAAAAATTGGTAGTTTTTAATAGGACACATATATTTGAACATTTAAAAGCCGGGGGGGGGGGAATAGAGGTTACCCCTCCTTCCCTTGTGTTTATATTCAAAATCTGTAGGGCCCTATCTTCTTGAGTTTTCAGTTTACTGCCACAGAGGTGTCTAAGAAAACTCTTACAATACTCGGGTTTTCTTTTCTCCAGAGCCTGGCTAAATTTTGCTAAATTTCACACTCCACAACAAGGGTTATAGCCTACATGCATTTAATATAATGTTCTCACTCATCGTGTATTAGTAATTGTTGTTTTTTTTTTTGTTTTTTTTTTTTGTTTTTTTTTTCAATTTCATGTGATTTCAGAGATTTTTATTTTTGTATTCCTGTCTTTTTTGTTTTTTTTTTCAATTTCATGTGATTTCAGAGATTTTTATTTTTGTATACCCCTATTTTTTTTATACCCCTTGTTATAGGCCTATATATTTCGCTCTACTGCAGTATTTTCATGCTTTTAATCAGATTAATTAAGTTTTTACTGACTTTGCTATTGTTGCACATCTTTTACGATTGTGCCTCTGGTATAAAAGAAAAGGAATAAAATTACTTACTTACCATAATCAACAACCGCTATTATAGGCCTATATTATTTGTGATAGCAATTGCGATGTTGGTAAATTTCAGTGCCGCATTATAATTTAAGTCCATGATGAAATGTATTAAAAGCTGCTGTAATTTGTAAATATCTGTCTGCCGCCCTCTAATTTACAAGCCATCCTTTTTCAATCATTTTCTTTTCTTTTCTACTATATAGTAAGCAATTCAGTGATGGTGAATTGTGCTTGTAGATTTCTGATCAGGCGCCATGTTCAAATAAGTACTGTCTACAAATCTTATCGAAGATGTCGTCACCAAAAATTAAATTGTCATTATAATAATAATGTAAATATTTTTTCGATCGACTCTAATGTCTTGTTAAATGTGAACAAACAGACTACTAGTGTAGAAAACTTTGTTCCGACACAACATTGACTCAATTAAGTGATGAATGTTTTATCTTTGACAGTGGCTGTAATTATCAAGGGTGCTCATGTTTGTTTATTCTTAATTGATTAAAAGTAAAGATTTGTTTTACGTAAAATAAGGCTATACGCACTGCTAGGCCTACTACCAGAACAAAAAAAATTGAGCCCTCTCGGTATTTCCCTAGCCAATTTGCTTTAGAGAAAGATTATTCGTAAATAGTTAAATTTTCATTCCTCAAACTCAAGTCACACCCTTTCCTATCACGTGTGACCTTCTGAACCTCTTGGTCCAGCAAACAGTTGAACCTAACATGAATAATTGATAAAATAGATTATACCTACTTCACGTATGAGATTATACCACCACATTTAATTAATATACTGTACTCGAACCGCCAAAGCGACATTGGTGGTGATAAGGAAATTAAGCAAACAACTGGCTTTCCTTAGTTAAATTTTAATGAAACACGGTAATGAGTCGATTTATCTTTGATATTGAATATACATAAACCACGTATTGTTGGATCATGCTGGGTTATAACGATGGCCGTTACCGCTAGTGTTAGCAAAATTTCGCCTTAATTTATGCTAAGTTTTTGAATATATTAATAATAATAATAATTATTATTATTATTAATGATAATAATAATAATAATAATAACAATAATAATAATAATAATAATAATAATATAATAATAATAATAATAATAATAATAATAATAATAATAGATGCATGAATGATTGAATGAATGGATAGAAAGATGGATGAGTAAAAGAATATTATGCATACTTGAATGAATGTCTTAATGAATGAATGAATGTATGAACGAACGAACGGAACAAAAGAACCAATGAATTATTGAACGAAAGGACAAATGAATGAATGAATGAACGAAGAAAGAACCGAATAAATGAATAAACGAACGAACGAACGAGCGAGGGGACGAACGAATAAATGATGGATAGATGAATGAATAAATGGATGTCGAATGTGTGTGCTGATGAATGGATTAATGTATGAATCAAACACTGAATAAAGGAACGATTGCTCTGCTGGTGCAAGGAACTGTTGCCGCCGCTGATAATGATAAAGATGATGAAGATGATGATGATGATGATGATGATGATGATGATGATGATGATGATGATGATGATGATGATGATGATGATGATGATGATTAAATAGATGATACCATACATACATGCCTTAATAAATGCCAATTTAATGAAATGATCACTTTTTCAAAGGTTAATATCATTATATCAATATCATAAGAGAACTTTAAAATGCTTGGTGGATATCACATATTCAAAGTTATAAACATTTGCAAGTACACGGAGGTGAAAGAATGACATAAACAGTCAATGACAGGTAAACAAAATTGAAGATTATATACTTTTTATGTATTTCTTTCATGAATTGAGATTCGACTTAGTGTAACATATGTTTTCGGTTCGATGTTACTGTTTGTATTATTTTAAAGACAGAGAAAATGACATATGGTCTCTAACTGATATGGATTCGTATATCTATACATTCCGCATGAGACTGTAACATTCGACGTCTGTAAAAGACACAATGGGTTATGTTGTCCTGGTAATAGTAGCCATATGCGGAGCAACCGACTGTAAGTATTGTGACTGATGGTTATTGTTATTAACAAGTTTCTAAGGTCTTGCTTTACGACCGTACTGATTTGTGTGAAGTCATGCATAATACAGTAAAACTTCCGAATATTTGTTGCTCTTAAATTCGAATTTATTTTACTAATTGTAACTGCTCGGATTTGGGCTGTATTAATGAGTTTACACAAACCAGTACGGTCACAAAGCAAGACCTTAGACTGTTTGAGAAACTCAGCAAGGAGGTTGAAAAAGCGGCAGACGCAGACATAACATTAGCTAAAAATTGCAGAACATTCGGCGTTTTACCTAAATTTATAGCATAATATTATTATTAACATTATAGATATTTTATTATTCTAATTATTATTATTATTATAATTATAATGTTACGATACTGAAACTCTTTTATTGTAATTATTTTTGACATTATTATTGTTAATGTTATTGGTACTGGGGCTGCGGTGAAAAATGGGGAGTCGGGAATCGAAATGGGAATCGAGGTAATATAAAGTCTTATAACTAATTGACTGTATTTCTTTTCTTGAAAATTTGGTGTGTGTCTAAATTTTTTTGGGAGATTTTTCCTAGGGTTCCGCACTCCTCTTCACCCAAAACCCTATTAAAGACACCTCTGGTTGTGCGTATAAACGGGGAGGAACCTGAAATAAATGATTGCTTACTAAAAATGACTGCGTCACCAAAAATTAAATTGTCATTAAAATAATAATGTAAATATTTTTCGATCGACATTAATGTCTTGTTAAACGTGAACTAAGCAGACTACTAGTGTAGAAAACTTTGTTAGACACAACATTGACTCAAATTAAGTTAATTTCTTGAAAATTTGGTGTGTGTCTAAATTTTTGGGAGAGTTTTCCTAGGGTTCCGCACTCCTCTTCACCCAAAACCCTATTAAAGACACCTCTGGTTGTGCGTATAAACGGCGAGGAACCTGAAATAAATGACTGCTTACTAAAATGAATAATATATCATTTAAGTGATCCTATTTCTATTTATACTGTATACTAAAACTGATTTACTAACTTTGTAACATGTTTTATTTCAGTTGGTAAAGTGTTCGCATCTGATGATATCGTTTGCTACCCGCAAATAGGGTGTATAGACAATGGACCCCCATTCTTCGACCCACTACTTCGACCTATAGGTAATCTTCCGAGTACTCGCGCCGAAGTCGGCACAGAATTTCTGTTGAATACAAGATCGAATCCAATAACTCCTCAGTTTCTGGATACGAACGATATTTCCACCATAACATCTTCCACGTTTGATCCATTGAAAGAAACGAAGATTGTCTGTCATGGCTACACCGAGAGCGCGTATGCTGCCTGGATGATTGAAATGGTCGCTGAGTTGGTTAACAATGATGACTTTAATATCATTAGAATAAATTGGCATAAAGGGGCCACCGCGATATATGGCCAGTCCACTACCAATACGAGAGTTGTTGCTGCTGAAGCATCGTATCTCCTTGATGTACTGAAGGTAAATAATAAATGAACACAAAACTAATAATTCTAACTGATTGACTGACTGACTGACTGACTGACTGGTTAAACAAACTTAATGGTGACTAGTCAATGACTAACTAAACTGACTGACTGAAAGACTGACTGATTAACTGTCTATTAAATGACTGACTAAACTAAAGGCCGTACGACGCAGCCCGACGCGATTCATCGTCGGGGACAGCCTTCGTGAGAAATATTAAACATGTTTAATATTCTACAACAAGACTGCACCCCCCCCCCCCGACGCAAACCATCGCGTCCGCGTTTAACTCACACAGACCCCCCGACGCAAACCATCGCGTCTGCGTTTAACTCACACAGACCCGACGCGGAAAAAAACAAGTCGCGTCGAGCTGCGTCGTACGACGCTGTCTGAGTTGGCCTTAACTGACTGAAATACATACCGGTACTGACTAATTAAATACTGACTAACTTACTGACAAGTTCATGACTGATTAAACTGAATAGTTAAATTTCTGACTAAACTGACCAGGAAAAGAAGGGACCTGCTAAGTAACATTATTAGGATGATACATGTTTCAACTCTTATTACAGTTAAATGTACATTAAAAGTTGATTTTTGCTAATCTATAAATATATATATATATGGGAGAAGTAATTCATTCAATCATCTTTTATTTCTGAATTTAGTGCCCATACAAAAGAATAACAGCTAAACTTATAAAACACAAAATAGAAAAATATAAATACGAAAATAAACGAAGGTAGAAAATCTGACTTGCTACCACTTGGCAATACTGAAAATACAAGACTAATTCAAGAAGTACACCAAGTTCAGGAATTCATTTTAATGTTCGGCAATGTTCCACTGATGACACATTTTAGAATTGGAAAGAGCATTATTCTTAATGGCTAAAATGATGGAATTAGAGCGTAAGTAGAGTAATATAAACTTAATCTAAAAGGTATCTGTAATAAAGACAATTAATGAATTCAGATTCACAAAAGTCAGCTTTAAACATAACAGCGGTGAGTGGATTTATTTTCTACAGTTAAATTATATATATATTTTGAACTTGTAGTCTCTCTACGGATACAGCGCGGACAAAGTACACATGATCGGACATAGCTTAGGGTCGCATATTGCCGGTTATGTAGGGGCAAGTCAGCAGAACCCAAAGCTTAAACGTATAACGGGGCTTGATCCTGCTGGGCCTTATTTCGAGGATACAGACATCGTTGTCCGGCTTGATCCTAGTGATGCCACGTTTGTTGATGCTATCCACACGGACACTGACCCTCTCTATACAACCGGTAATAACATCAATAATTTTATTTTTATTATTATTCTCATCGTTGTTGTCGTCGTCATCATCATCATCATCGTTAGCATCATTATCATCGTCAGCATCATCATCAGCACCATTGTCAACATCTACATCATCAATCATTATCACTATCTACATCATCAATCATTATCAGTATAATCACTATCCTCAATAATAATATTATTATTATTATTATTATTATTATTATTATTATTATTATATTATTA